GTAAGCACCCAGCCTGGACACAGAGAAATGTGACAATAGCCATGAGATGAGAGGAGGCTTCTCCCCAAGCTTTGGAAGCATCTCTCAGAAATGGCACAAAGGAGCTGAGCCCCAGGAGAGGACATGGAGCCCCAGAGCAGGAAGTTTTCCCAGGTGGGCTCCTGGCCCAAAGAAGCAGGCAGAACTCCAGAAAGAAGCAGCCCAAGAACATTATCAAAGCCATGCAAGACCTGAGCATGGGAACAGCAACCCCAGATCATCCAAAAGCAGGTATCGACTGCTCAGCACAGCCCTGGGGCTGCAGGAGCTGAGATGCTTCTCTGCTCTCCCCACAGGACAAAGGCTCCTTCCCCACCCTTGGGCCCAGAGCAGCCCTCTCCCTCTCCTACGTGGGAAGCATAGTAGAGCAGGAAGGGGAGGCCTCGTCGGGCACAGTCAGCGATGAAGTCTCGGGAGAATTTGTTGTAGAGTGGCACCAGATCAGGGAAAGAGACTGGCTGCTGCACAATGCTCTGGTTCCAGAGCAGTGGGACTGGCACCAAGCCTTGGTCACAAGTCCCAAAACACTTGACGTCAGGTGGGAAGCAGGTGAGATTCTGGCAAGGGCCCTGGAGAGAACAAATGACACTTTGTCTTCTACCTACGTTGCAGGACGGTGAGGGGAAGGGAGCAAAGAGTCTCACAGTGGCCCACTACCAGGTCCCACGGGCACCCTTTGGGCAACCACTCCCAGAAGCAAAGGGGTCTGTGCCCACCCTAGAATCGTCCAAGGACCATGCTGCCCCAACATAATTTTCTCCTGACAGCAACTCAGATGTTTCTTTGTAGCCCAGAAGCTGACCCTTCCTCCCTTGACAAAGGGTGTATGTACCCTCACGCAACTACCACCTATGTTGTACAAAACTGCCCCACCAGCCAAGCATCTCAGAGATGGGCTTTCCCCACCAGCACCCCTCTCCCCGGCCTGCAGTCCCGCACCCATCTGCTCCGGCAAGAACTTGAGAGCCTGTGTGCTCTCAAGCAAGCTTCATCTTTCAGGCACTCCCCCAGCCATCCCCAAGACACCCTTGGCGGCTTGACAGGCCTCTCACCTGGTCATGAGAGTAGGGCACACCCAAGAAGTGGTCAAAGCCCTGATGAATGGGCAGAAGAGGGCCGTTAATCCCCAGGCCAAGGTGCCACTTGCCAACCATGGCTGTGGCATAGCCCTCAGCCTTCAGCACTTCAGCAATGGTGACCTCAGACAGCGGCAGGCCTCCCCGTGAGTCTGGGCTGAACACACCAGGGTAAACCCCGGAGCGCATCTGGAACCGGCCTGTCAGCAGGGCTGCCCTACAGGTGAAAGGGAGAGAAGGCAGGCATCACACTGGGTGCAGCGCAGGTCGCGGTGCTCAGCCTCCACAGAGAGTGCCCCGTTCTCTGGCACCTGGCAGCTTGGCTCGCCGGCCTCACAGCTGCCACTGTCGCCTCCCGGCCTGGGCTGCTGGAAGCTCCATCAGTCCCCTCACAGAGCAGTTGGACCCCGGGGCCTCCTGGCACACGGCAGGTTTGTCAACCACCCGTTCCTCCCAGTGCTGCAGCTCCCCAGCTGGGTGCCGAGCCGTGCTTCCTCCAAACCTGCCGCGGGGCCTGCAGCAGCCACCAGGCAGAGCGGCAGGAGCAGCAGCGGACGTACCGGGACGGGCTGCACACCGGGGAGCTGCTGTAGAAGTCGGTGAACCGCAGCCCTCGGGAAGCCATCCGGTCCAGGCTGGGCGTGGCCGAAGAAGGATGCCCGTAGCTGCCCAGGTCTCCGAAGCCCAGGTCATCCGCCAGCAACAGGACGAAGCTGGGGCGGGCGCCGGCCGCTCCGCGCAAGGCGAGCAGCACCAGAGCCCACGGCAGGCCCCGGCCCCACGGCCCCATGGCGCTGCCGCCCGGCGAGGCCCCGCCGACACGCGCGGTCAGCATGGGCTACAGGGCCACTACGTGGGCTACTACGGGTCCGTGTTCGAGCCCGGCAGCGATGCGATGCGGCGGCAGCGATGCGATGCGGCGGCAGCGATGCGAGACCCCGGCGGAACCCGCAGCCCCAGCACCGGCCGGGCAGGGCCCGCAGCTCCGCCACCGACGGAGCCCGACAGGCGCGGGCAGCCACGCGACCCGCCCCCCGCCGCGGGGCATGCCGGGAGTTGTAGTCCGCGCCGCCGCCGGTCCCTCGCCGCCGCCGTGCCCGGTGCCGCCGGCCCCATGGGACCCGGGCCTGCCCCCTCGTGCTGCGGTCAGCTACAGGGGCTTCCCTCAGAATCCCCTCGGTGGTGCCCAGGGTTGGGGGCTGCGGACTCAGCCCGGGTGCGCAGCCCCTGGTCTCTGGGGGAAAAAGCCTTGCAGGCACCGGCAGCCGGGCCTGCAGCCAGCCGCACCGGGGCGGAGGCTGGGACACCGTGAAGCTGTCCTGGGAGCAGACGGGCACCCCGGCGTGTGGCAGCAAACAGACGTCCTCTCCGCTGGGGCTGGGTGGCCCGAGCGGACATCCCCTGTCACTGCCCGGGCCACTGCTTCCAGCTTCCCGCCTTCTGGGAGAGCAAATGCAGCTGCTTTTCTCCAGATGCGCACAGGGTGCGAAATCCCTTGGGACAGAGAGCATGCCATCGTTTGGAGGAGGCTGGGCCCTGTGGGAGCCTGGGCACTTTCCGGGTGTGAGAAACTATGAGTTAAGTATATTGTTTATTAAGACTTAAAGATAAAAGAGGAGGGGAGATCGTTCATGGAATTATGTGTTGCTTGTGCACACATGGCCGACGCTGCAGATCACAAGATATCCCAAGAAAACAAACAGAAGAAAAACAACTCCACATAAGGATATCATCGACCACCAGAAGGCAGAAAACGACCCCCTAACAACAACTAGCACATGCGCAGAGTATCTCCACCACTCTAGACCCCAGCAACAGTTGAAACATAGTATCTTCACCACTCCATGAACGCGGGAAAAAAAATGTATAAAAAGGGACAGTTTGTTCTCCTCAGTACGGCAGTTGGTGGAGTACAGACTCCCCTGTCGTCCAGCGCTGGTTTTGCTCATATTCTACTTGCTATAATTAATAAAATTTCAATTGGAGTTCGACCCATTGTAGTCTCGATTTATAACACCGGGCAAAGTTTGTTTCTGTTTTCATACAGCAGTGACGGACTTTCACGTTCAGGCTCACAAACTGCTGGTTGTGCCTGAACACAGGTAGCCCATATCCTGCAAAAATGCCTTGTAATCAAAGTGAGGAAGGGACAGTGCAAAGAGCAACCAACAGCAGTTCTCCGATGGAAGAGAATGATAAGGAGAACGAGGAGGAAAAGGGAAGGTTCTGCACCCTGGGAAGGCTGTACCCCATTGCTGTGTTTGCTTTTGAAAAGCAGAGAGAACTCGGAAAACAGGCACAGGAAGGAGTTGAATGTCCTCAAGATCTCCATCTGTTCAGTTTATCCAAAATGAGATTAAAGCAAGACCAGAGGTGGTGTACTGGCACAGGCACAGCAGCAGTGGTCTAGGATTAATGACCCAGCAGGCAGTTTCAGCCCAAAGACAAAGCAGGGGTGAGAATGCCTAATGTCCTAGTCGGGATGATCGCATGTAGATACACCTCTGTTTTACGTCCAGCCAGCGCGACCAGTCTGTTCTGGATTTTCTTGTTGTTACTAGTCAGCATTTCTTAAGACCCATCCCACTTTTACAACCACTTTCTAATGTGTCAGCTAACTCTGCTTTCCACTGCTCCCTGTTCTCCATTGTTCAGACTGTCACTGTAGCCCCTGGCCTTCCTGCGTGTCTAGCCCCATGCCTCCTAACGGCCTGGCCCTTGGCACAAGAAGGATGCTGGGGCTGCTGCTGCTGCTGCTGTGCTCACTGCCATCAATTATTCAGGGCCAAGAGGCAGAGTGAGGAGGCTGGTGCTGCAGCAGGAGGCAAAACTGCTGCATAATTCATGGAGCCCACTTTGCTCGTAGGGCATGGCAGTGCTTGCTGTGTGGTGCCTGGCCACAGGGATCAGGGCGCTGGGGGCTGGCAGTCAGGACACTGAGAGAACAGTTAGGGCTCTGAGCTTGGGGTGGGAGCGGGCACGGCACAGGGACAGTTTCAGAGACCAGACAAGGAACAGGGCAGGACGTGTGGGGACCATGTGCACGGTGGGCAGGTAACTTGTCTGCAGGAAACTGAGCAAGGCATGCTGTGACTGCCCCAGCGTGCACAGGTGCCAGTGAACGCAGATGAACAGTGTCCGTGCAGCTGGGTGTGGAGGGACAGGCCCGACTTCTGCAGTGCTGTGGAAGCAAGCACACACTGACAGACGTGTGGGCCAAACACAGGAGGGAACAGGCAGGAGTGGGTGTGATAGCCTGCATCCATGCAAGCAGCTCCAGAGCATGTGGGTGATAACAGGCTATGTGTTTGTGTGGGTGCAACACTTCCCTCTGTGAGTGTGTATGCATGCACGTACGTGTGTATGCCTGCATACGTGTATGCGTGCGTGGACATGTGTGCGTGCATGCATAGACAAGTGAGTTTTCATGTGCCCCCGTGGGAGGTGCATTCGACGTGTGCATGCATCATTGGGTGTATGCCTAGAGTGTGCATGTGGGCAGATAAGGGGGTGCATGCTGGTGCATGCATGTGGGGTGTGTGGGTGGGTGCATTCTGCATGCATGCATACTGCAGGGTGGGCATGCACTGCTTGTGTGTGTATGCTTTGTGTGTGTGTGCATGTGTGCATACGTGCGCAGCCAGGTATGCATGTACATGCACTCTGTGTGTATGTGAACACTGCACACTGCACTGTGTTCAAGAGGTGTGTTTTGGAGTAAGGGGGTGCACATGCTCCAGGTGTGCACTGCACATTCTGTTTGTACCCCCATGCGTGTCTCCACTCTGTGTGTGTGTGTGTGCGCGCGCATGCACCCTGCGCGTGAACGTAGTGTGTGTGCATGTCACATCAATTTTTCCTCTTTTCTTTCTAGCCATGATATGCCAGTCTCCTCCATCCCATGGTGACTCTAAGCATCATCCTCTCTGACCAGGCAGAGTTTTGGCCCCTTTTGTGGCTCTTTCCCTTTGTGCCCCACTTGTCTGCCCGCAGCCGCATTGTGCAGGTGCCAGGCATGGAAGTCCCTGCCTTGCACTGGAGACTGAATTGGCCTGAAGTATGGTTAGCTGTGAAAACTGGTGAGTTTATTTCAAGAACTGTGTCAACTTCAGCACTGGTGTGTGCTCGGAGGAGCGTGGGCAGGACGGAGCAGGCCTTTGACACTGAGGCTGCCTTTGGCTCAGCAGGCAGTGCCCCAGAAAGAAATGGTCGTGGTACGCTGCAAGCCTGCACTGGATCCTCTTCATCCTGCTTGCTCAAGCCTTTTTTTCCTTTAGGAACAGCAGGAGCTCCTGCGCCCGAGAAAAGAATTCCACCAGCTTCCCAAGGGGAAAGGGGCAGGAGCTAAACTTGCCCGATTGTGTTGGTGTTGGCCTCTGATAAGGGGTTGAGGCAGTGAGAAAATGACTCCATGCCCCTGATGTTGGAGAAGCCCTTGCTGCTGAGCGAAATCCCATCTGTGTCAGGATCCAGTCGTAGAAGTGCTGAGTGGAGGTGTAGATTCCAGGCCGTTTCGCTCTCGCACAGCCTTTCCCCCAGCTGGTCACTCCAACAAGCCAGAAGTAGTCAGCATTTTTATCTTTGCAGACGAGAGGACCACCGCTGTCACCCTGCAGCGGAGGAGAGAGGATGAAGGGGGTGTTAGGTGGCCACTGTCAGCACTAGGGCTGGCTGCTTCTCTCCCACAGCACCTGCCAGCGCTGTATTCACTGCACAGAAAGGCTCTGCAGCTGCTGGAGCCTACAGAAACTTTTCTAGGAAGAAGCCACAGGCCTGTAAGGCAGGGTGTGCTCTCTCTCCTCTCTGCACTGTGATGCTGGATGTGTGGAAGGGGGATGTTCCAGGATTGGGATCTGGGCCTACGGGCTGCCAGCAGCACCGGATGGGCTTTCTGGGCAGAGTCCCCGGCCTCTGAGACAGATGGGGCACTGGGCGAGAACCTGCAGAGAGGGAAGGGGAGGTGAGCCTACCTGGCAGGTGTCAATGCCGCCCTGCGGGTAGCCAGCACACAGGTTGTGGGTGTGGACGGCTCCTCTGTACCACTGGCTGCTGTTACAGAGGTTGACATCGATGAGGGGGACCCTGGCTTCCTGCAGGACAGCAGTTGATCCTCCAGCTGTGAGCACAGAAAGGAGGTAACACTCAGGAGGTTGTTGCCAGTTCTCCTTCCCTGCCTGGGTGAACCCCTTCCCTAGGGCTCGGCTTTGTGTCGTGAGAGGCACTGTACCGGTGTTTCCCTTCTGTCTGGCTTTGGGTAGTGGGCCAGGCCCATCTCTCTACAGGCATACGTCCCTACATGCCGACTCTGGCTTTTGCCTCTGCTGTGAGGAAGCCCAGCCCGCCTCCCCGGTGTGCCGAGCTTGCACTTGGGACACAAGGATTCTGCAGGAACTTACATTTTGCATGTGTGGAACCCCAGCCACTGACGTAGCAGTCTGTCAGCTCTGACACTTTCAGCCAGGCGTTGGGCACACAGGCAAGCTGTACATAGTAGCCACACTGTACAGGCTGGTCCAATTCCAGCAACGCAATGTCGTTCCTCTGCGAGATACTACTATAGCGTTGGTGAGCCACCAGCCGCCTAATACCGCGCACTTGGGACTCAGGGCCCAGCTGAGTCAAGTAGGTGGTCCCGACCACCACACGCCACGTCCTGATGTCCCTGGAAGGCAGATGGAGAGAGGGCTTAAAGGGAGCAGAGACATGTGCTGCAGCAGCCCAGCAGTTCCCTGCGTTCTGCTTCACAGGGGAGAGAGAAAAGCAGCGCTACAGAAGGTGCGACTGCCCTAGCATGCCTTCAGCTCGAGGCATGTCGAGCCGGAGGCTGCGAGGAAGCAGTGGCAGCAGCGCAGCCTCCTCCTGAACAGTCTCTCAGCCGGGCTCTGCAGTGCTGGAAACGGGATGGGAGTAGCAGGTGGTGCTGCGGACAGGGCACCTGTGAGTGCTGTGGGGATATCCCCGTTCCCTGGTCCTCCTTACCTGGCCTCGACGAAGCAGTGGGCTGCTGTGAGAACCCACTGTGGGCTGATGAGGGACCCTCCGCATATATGCCCCACACCTGCTAGCCAGGGATTCTGGATGCTGACGATCCAGGGCCAGGCCCCTGGGTGGGAGCTTGTGCCACCCACGACACGCGACATGCCGTAGTAAGAAGCCATGGGCCGGAGCCC